GCATAATAAATTGAATACTAACCTATGCTTCTATTTGATCAACAGGGTAGTAAATTAAATGTTGGTAGTGAATAAAAATTGGAGCCCCATGGTCGATTAATCTGTAAGGTGGTAGAAATAAATTTTATTTTAAAAGTATAACGCGACACACATACTTCGAGCACTCAAGTTAATGGCAATCGAAAGAGTATTCAGGCCAGATATTTGAGTCAAGTGACAGCACATTACGTGACGTACTAACGGTGACTTTTCTAAGCTACGTTTTAAGAGTTTTTCGTTACATAATTTAGTAGTTATTTATGCTTTTTCCAATCGAATACTTATCTATCACCATAACGAATCAGGGTTGCGTATTTTTGTAACAAAGCCGAACAATTTGTTAAGCAATAAAGGCCGTTTGAAATTTATTAGGAAGCGGCGCACGTTCGGCAAGCACTCGCGGTAATGGCGGATCAAGTGGATCATACGTCAGCGCCAGATGTGCGCTACGTTTACTCATATAATGGATGTCTTTATTTATTGACAGCACCCCTGAATGCGATAAAGTCGCTTTAAATCGCTGCAGTTTAAACTCATTTATAAAAACTCTAGCTGTTGCGAGTGACTTCGATCGCAAAAAAAAATAAAAACATGGCCTATGTTTTTCACAGATAAATTACCTTTCATGAATCAAATACAGACAATAATAGAAATCGTTCCTTTTTCAAATAGTAGTATTGATAATTGTTTCTTGAATTTATTTTATTTTATAACTTACCAGTTGCATCAAGTCGCAAATCTAAAATCTGTCACTGAATTTTCTTTATTTTTACGTCGTTAATACAATGAAAACAACTTCGTTTTCACTGTATATAGTTATGTAATTATTAATTTTAAACAGAAGCGAACGCCTGTGCGAAATTCCAGTTACAGTTTCGTAACTTGATAACCAATTAAGGAGTTTTTGCTGAAATTCGAGCGGATAGTTGCTTTATATGAAATTAAACCAGTTTAAACCAGTTTTGACTGGCTTGATAAAGCAATACCCCTTTGTTGCTGGAGAACAGTTTGCCTGAATATACACGTTTATAATTTACTCTTACGATTATCTAGAAATAATACAATATAATCGATTACTTAAATAGACCTTTACTTTAGATTTCTCTGATTAAAACAGAATAAAAGTAAAAAAATCGGGGCCCATTCATAAAAAGTAGTTTTTCAATTAATTTTTCAATCTACTAACTACTATTATTAACTAGCTGTTCCCGTGCGGCTTCATCCGCATGAAATTATGAAAATTTTAGTTTATTGTTTACATTTGTCAAATTGTCAATTGCAAATGTCAAAATGACATAACATGACAAAACTTGGCAATCTTGCTTCCTTGATGTTGGCAGCAACTTATGGTCTCTTTACCACATTAGGGTTTTTATCCAAAATATTTACCCCCTAAGTTTAATGGCATGAAAATATATAGCCTTAGGCGTGACGTAAGTGTACGGTTTTTTATTAAAAAAAGAATCCTTCAAAAATGTACTGTAATTGCTGACATCTTAGGCAACAAAGAAGTGTGTGTTTACGCTTTATTATAATAGAAGAGATAAAAATGTTGCATGCAGAAAATGTTAGTTTGTTAGCCTGTTACGCATCTTCGGTATTAGAGTTTTAATTTCTTAGTATACAGTAAGTTTAAATAAATATACTAGCTATATACGACAATATTATTGACGATGAAGAAACAAGGAAATAAAATAGGTCACGACTTTACCTAAACTATTCAAGATGCAAACAATACATTCTCTATGCAGTTCCAAGATCAAAGCTTTTAAGTTTTGAATGAAAACTAAAATATGACATCTGTACGAAAACATTCCCTCTCATAAAAAGATTAAACCTTGAAAACGTTAAATGTAAAATGTTTTTGTCCATTTTAAAGTAAAACATTGACCTCACTATGACTGTCTTAGTTTTCAAATATATTTCACCTTTTACGTCAGTCAATTATATTATACCTGGACTAGCGCCTGGTGCGGAATTCTAACAAATCATGTTTTTTTTATCCATACTATTATTATAATAAAGCGTAAACACTGCTGTTGCCTAAGATGTCAGCAATTACAGCATATTTTTGAATAATTCTTTTTTTAATAAAAAGCCCTACACTTACGTCATGCTATATATTTTCACGCCATTAAACTTAGGGGGTAAATATTTTAAATAAAAACCATAATGCGGGAAAGAGACCATAAGTTGCTGCCAACATCAAGGAAGAAAGATTGTTAACGTTTGTCATGTCATGTCATGTCATTTTGACATTTGCTATTGATAATTTGACAAACGTAAACAATAAAATATTTTTTTTATAATTTCATGCGGATGAAGCCGCCCGGGAACAGCTAGTACATTACAGGAAGGCTTACGAAATGCAATCTTACTAACCAATATTATAAATGCAAAAGTTTTGATGGACGGTTGGATGTTTTTTGAGATCATCAGGGAACTGATATCGGTAAAATTTTACTTAGATGTAGGACATAGTGTGGAAGAATACATGTGCTACTTACTTTTTTAATTGGACCCGGGCGGAGTCGAGATCGATAGTTAGAAAATAATAAAACACATCGACTTTAGTAAAAATGTAATCAAAATACTACGTTTTTTTAATACTTTATGAGCAGAAAACAAAAATGCCTCAGCCGTAGCTTCTTGAAGGCTATAATAAAAAGCTTTCTTATTTGAGAAAAGCTTTCTCCCTGTACATATTGTTTACTGTTTTGCATAATTCCATTAGGGAAAGGCGTGAGAACATATAAATATTTGTTTCTCTAAGTACAAATAAAAAGGTCTCCTTATTTAGGCTAATGTAGATAGAGTGGGTATAATATGCAATTTACAACATTATAAAAATAATAACTTTGTATCTCGTTGAATATACTTTAGAAAAAAAAATAAAAAAACATTTGCATAGCTATACTTAGCTTCTAGCAGATCTGAAGAAAAAGTACATAGTAGTATATAGTTTAAAAAAAATAATGTACAAAAATCAATTTATTTTCAGTCAAAAGTCGCAGTCGCCTACTCCCCTATCTAAACAGTTTTTTACTAAGCGACATAGTTAAAACTTTAACGTTTGAACAAAAGCTCTGAATCTGAATTTTAAGTGTAACATATTTGTGTATAAAATTCAAAAGAATTCCTATCCGCTGTCATAAACACCTGCGGCTGTAAAGAGTCCACCTTTTTGGCAACCGTACTGTGGCATCTCACTGAACATTAAACTGACCTACATGTCTATGCATTTTATTTTATAAAAACGTTCCGAAACGCGACACATCAAAAATGTTTAAAAAAAACTGTAAAACGAAAACATGACTGACACGATTTTTTAAGAACGAAAATTTTATTCTTCACGAGTAAAAATGTAAATATATTCTCGATCTAGGCTGAATCTCTACAGATTTAGATAAAAACTAGTTTGTTGTCTATTCCTTAGTTAGGTATAACTAAAAGTCGACAAACAAAAATTACGAAGGATGTTTTGGAACGCAACCAAAGGCGCCTGAAAGAATCTGAAAAATTAAATGAAAATGCTGTTTGTTTTAAATAAATTCATTAACTACGTATGACCGGTTTCCCAGTTAGGTTTCAACCTATCACTAATGAATCACTAGATAATAATAAAATAAAAGGAAACTTCAGAAACCCAGCATTAAACAGGTTATTTAACTTCTCATACTAGCGCCCTAGAGAATAAAAAGGATGACAAAAGAGGGTTTATGTACTACTAGCTTTCGCACGCAACTCTGTCCGCGTGCAATTGAATAAACCAAAAGGGAGTAGCCTAAATGTTCTTCCAAACCTCTACATCTATACCAAATTTTATCGAAACCGTCAAGCCGTTTAGGATACAAACTCTAATAAATTTCATCCATCTAAACTTTCGCATTTTTTATATTAGTATGATTGAAATCACGGCAGAGAAATTATACGGTAAGGAATACAGAATGTTTACTAAGCAATCACATCAAAGGGAAAATTTAATATGCATTAAGTAATCAACATCAAACTACGTTTGTACAATAATTAACTTGACTTGTTTAACTAAACTAAGTTGGTGAAAGTATTTTTTGGTCGTTTGTATCACATTGTAGCTGTTGCCCACGACTCCGTCCGCCAAGTATCAAGCGTTCGAATTTAAAAAACAAATAACTACGTTATAGAAATTGTTGATTGAGAAAAATGTTTTTTTGTTGTATTTTTTATACTTTAAAACTTCGTAGACTAACTTAAGTGTGGATAAAATGCATCCCCGTAGCCCTTGTTTTCCTCTATTCATACTTGTCTCGGAAAGCGCTTCAAAACCTCTTTAAAACCGGTCAAGTGTCACGGCTTTAAAATTTTGCAGCCCTGATGTTTAATTTATATAAAAGAATCACCATTTTCCTAATGTTATATACACTTCAACTTGTAATAAGAAAAGTACTATTAAAAGCTATTGTTCATCATCAACAGCTTGCCGTTGTCTCTACAGAGGGTCGGCACAGTGTGCTGCTCTTCCATACATCTCTATCAGCCGTCATATCTGAATTTACTCCCTTCTTCAGCTCCGCTTTCACACAAACTGTACTTTCTTAAAATCCCATTAATGATAATAAGAAATGGGTTGATATTACCAGGATTAATGTTTTTTTTCTAACTACGCCAAAGCTTTATCCCCAGGCTTTAAAAAAAGAAGGTTATGATATGTTTTTGTTTATTGATAAAAAATGACAGGGTTTATTTTCATGTGATGCAATATTAGAATAAACACCGAGCTCTCATTTAAAGTTTAGATGATCAGTGAGAAAATCGCCATTTGTTTAGTAATAATGAGATCGGGCGTTTTATCTAAAACAAATAACTTACGGGCCCATTCAACCGTAGCCAAGATTAAAATTTTGTTACATTTCAGTACATTGAAGTTATTATAAGGTAAAAATAAAAAGAAATATTATAACTACAAGAAATAAAAAAGGTAATATGTCTATTTTTTTTATTAAATGCATGCAAAAATTACAAAATACAGAATCTATTGACTTTACAACCAAGATATAAATAGTGTTTTATGTAACACAAATTCGCTTATTGTCTGTGACCAGCGGTAACGTTAACACGTTGATATCTGTTTGTTTCGCAAACGAAGAAACATTTAAGGTCTTCACAGCTGACGTCGTTGAGACGACCGTTGTAGAGCATCGCGCCACACCTCTCCCCTTTATCGTCTTCATAGTAGTTGTCCCACACCGCATATCCCGCTTTCTCCAAAGACTCTCCTACGAAAAGAAAATATTTAAGGTCGTTGTTTACATCTTTCAAGGTGCAATAAGTTTCCGGTTTCGGTTGAAACCAACTACTCATCTAATTCAGTAAAAAAGCCAAGGCCGAAAAGACATGTGTCTATTTTATTCCTAAAATAAACATCTACAATACAATACATATGAAAACATGACGCGTACTTAAACAATTTCATGACTACATCCGAACATTCAAATCACTTCTTTTTTTGAGAACATTGATACGTCTGTTCGAACTCACCTTTAATCGTTCTCCAGTTATTTTCAGTAGTATCATAATTGTATCCTAAATGTACATACGGGCATAAATACCACCCTCGTACCATTTCCTTAGGAGCATTGTTTGTCATGTTCACAAGATAATAAGCTTCCTCCACAGTATTGATAATAGCTAATTGTGCTTGCTCGTCATCGCACGCTTCAACCGCCTCTCTCCAGTTCAATCGTTGCAAATGAAATTTGTAACAGCTGTCTGTATCAACGCTGTACTTGTAATCTACAAAGAAAAGAATTTTAACTTTTAAAACTTGACTTGATTTGTAATATTTACTAGACTTCTAGAATTGGACTTGTAATGACAAAAGTTTTTATAATTGTTCCGGGAAAGGGAAAATAAATCTTACCTTTGTAAGGTATGTTGCAGCCTGGGCTCCACTCAATTGAGGCCGCTGTCTTCTTGCATACGAAAGGCCGCTCTTCGGTACATTTGATATCATTCAAGAAACCTTCCCGGGACAAAGTGACGCAACTGTTTCTGCCATTAGCTCCACTTGGTGTCTTCCTGTACCAGTCATTGTACACTTCACGAATAGGTTTCCCTAGAAATACAAGTAACTAGTTAGAAGAACTTTTGAATCTTGTTATCATATTGCAACAGTCATTGTATTACCGTGGGTTGTTGTTAAAACAAGTGTATTATGCAGTTCCGAGATTATATGATACGATCGAACACAAATAATGGTATTTATAAAATGCATCTTTAAAAAAATTAATGCTTACCATCGACCGTCATGTACACTCCGTTCGCTAACCGCGTAGAGATACCAATGAACATGTATTGAAACCACGGCTGGGTCTGGTTCAGATATCGGATCACCTCGTTTACTTCAACCTCGTCTTCAGGATAGAACAGCGTTGCACCTTCCATAATACATTTCCGCCTCGCACTTTCCCATTGCCTTGGTACTGGATGTGCTTTGTAAAAACTGTTCTTGTGTCTCAAATATTTGTAATCACTTCTGAAAAATGTTTCATTCGAATTTTCCGCTGAAACTATAGATAACTGGTTTATTAAAATCTTTCTAACACGTCCATTTATCAGACCTTTAGGTCCACTGATGCAAATAACGCTAACTTTTTCATCAGTGTATTTGAAAAGATACTCGATATCAGTATAAATGCTGCTTGTGCTTCATTGAAGTAATTGTGTAAGTGTGCAATTATTAATCAAGCTAATATTATAAATGCAAAAGTTAGATAGATGTTAGAGTTTTTTGTCCAAACGGCTGAATGGTTCTCGATGAAATATGACATCGATATAGAGCAATGTCTGAAAAAACACATAGGCTAATTACATTTATTTTTTAATTCCACGTGTACAAAGTCGCGGGCGAAGGTAGCTAAGAGATTTAAATAATACCTACCATTACTGTAGACGTGTATACTGGGAACGGCATTTATTTGTGGTCGAGGTTCTGTGCAAATGTACGGGAATAGGTGTGCACAATTATCGTCGTTGTATGTGCCATCGTCTCTGAGTACAACGCACTGTTCCTTTCCTCCCACGTTGTTCGGCTCACCTACACCCCACTTACCGTACACATCGCTCATGCTTTTTCCTTTCAAAATAAATGTTAGTCATTTAGTAATAGCAGATTTTAATTAATTAACCTAACCTTAAATTAAACACAAAAACCAGACTAAATATAGTAGATGAATATACCCAAAAGTATTGAAAAAAAATTAGGAAATTAAAAAATGTACTGCGAGTGAAATTTAGATTGTGTTTTTAATGTTTTCTTAGAATTTCTTTTCTCACGCTAACTGAAGGTGTTCTGCCAATGTTATATACTCTATGATACTCCGGGATAAAGACGAATCGAAGGTCATTAACTTCTATGCCGCTACCAATGGTACTGATATAAATTACATCTAAACCGACATACAAATCCTAAACATAGGCGCAAAAACAAATTTTTAAATCGCTTGAGTATTTTACAAGTTTCTTGTTCTTTTTCTATATTGTTATTTTTCTATTCGTTAATTGTTAATAAATAAAAAAACATACTAAAAGCTGGCACAAACCTTTGGCTAAACTATCGCACAACTGTTTTGCGATTGTCGGTTGTTTCGCCAATGCAACTGTTTAATTCCACAACTAAAAACCTCCATATCAGCTCATTGGTTCAAGCGAGACTAAACACTTGTCATCATCATCATCATCTCCTTATCCTACTCCCGTAGGGTCGGCGCAACAGGTTTTTGTCCTCCACATAACTCTATCATACGTCATCTCAGTCATCACTCCCTTTTTGATCATGTCACCTTTTACACAATCCATCCATCTCTTTCTAGGTCTACCTCTACCGATGTACCCTTCCACACTCATAACTAACGTTCTCCTTGTAACATGCGATTCATCCCTCCTCATAACATGCCCATACCATGCTAACCTTTTACTCCTAACCTTCTCTATTATGGGGGCTACTCTCAAACTTCCTCTAATATAGACTAAACACTTGTGCGATAGTTAAGTTCAGGTGTTCGCACGCTCTAAGAAAAGAAACATTATTCTTACCGTCAATGGTCTTGAATTCACCATGATTGTCTTTAGAAGTGATACCAACAAAGATGAATTCTAATTCCATCTCCTTCATAAGTTTTTGCGCTATTCTGAGTTGAGTTAGATTTGACGGGTAAAACAATTGTAATCCTTTTAAACTGCATGAATCCGTGGCAACATTCCAGTTCAAATGCTTTGAAAATATCGTGTATGTAAAATTTCTACTTCTGTAAGACAAGCTCTCTCTCCCATCTACAACAATGTAACACAAAATAAATATAGAAACAAACTACTTTTTTTTTATAACACAAGGTGGCAAACGAGCAAGCGGCCACCTGAAACCGCCAAAATGGCGAAGCGACCACTGCCCATAGACATCCGCAATTGCAAATGCGTTGCCTACCCTTATCCGACTGAGAAGGAGATGCACATAAAGAGGATAGTTCCCCTACTTATGTGTCTCCTCCTCTGTCAAATCCACTTTCCCGTCCCATCCTCTCCTTGTAACAAAAGGGCGGTAAAGAAAAAGGGACTTAAATTAAGCCTCCGGCACCACACTCATCAGACGAAACACGGAATTGCTTCCACTTCACGCCTGTCTTCTGTGTGGTCGTGGTATTACACCGGGCGTGCCGGCCTATTCGTGCTAAGATGTTAAAGCGGGCACGACCACTGTCAACTTTTACTCTTGATTTCCGCGTGGAATGCAAAAATAAAACTTAGTATGCTTATGTGTTCCTTCAGAGTTTGTTCTTCATTTATGTCAAAAATCGAAATCATTCAACGCGTTTTGGACATACGTAGTGTCTAACATCCACCCATTGGAACAATCGTAAGAATAATATTACTTTCGCCCGCGACTCCCTCTGTGTGTAATAAAAACTATAGTAAATAACCTATGTATTTCTCCAGATTATCCTCTAGTTCAGACAAACATCCGTCCATAAAAACTTACTAGCTTTATCGTGCGAATTTAATAAAAACAAAAATAAATAGCTTATATGTTGTTCCAGACTATTCTCTACATTAATACCAAATTCCATCGAGCTTCGTTCAGCAGCTTAGGCTACAAATTCTAACAAACGTCCATCCATACAAACTTTCGCATTTATAATACTAGTAAGACTAGTAAGTTGATTATGGTCATCAATTCAAGAAGTTTAAATATATAAATATTGAGAAAAAATGTATAAGAAATCATATTATTTGAAGACATACTCTTTTGTTAATTCTGGAATAATACTTTTAAAGAAACGTTTCCTAGACAAACTTATCAGAAATAATGATCATGCATGCATTGTAAAATTAAAAACGAAAGAAAACAATGTATAGTGGTTATTTTTGTTATAAAAATATACTTACAACATGACACAAACATGAAAATTAATAAGAATATCGTTCGTTCCATCTTTAAAATGCAAAAACATTAACTGTAATAAAACTGACGAGTCTGTCCTATGAATGACACTTCAAAACTAACTGCAGAACATATTTGTTGCGGACTTTTAGTAAGATACATCAATACATCTGCTGGTATTCCCCAAACATAAATAATATATACAGAATAAGAACAACACTATATGTTGCCATCCTTCACTTTCATTTTAAATAAAAAGAGACAATAATACGGGTAAACTACACTCAAGATAACCTGTCGAACTACTTATCTATGTATATTTATTTATCTATACTGATATTGTAAAGTAGAAATATTTGTATTTTTGTATGTATTGAAATAACTCATAAACTATTTTAAAAAATTTTAAAAATTCTTTCACTGTTAGAAAGGTAATTTATCTGTGAGTGACATAGGCTATATTTTTTTCATTATTTTTAATTTCACGCGGACGAAGTCGCGAACAACAGCTAGTACTTAATATACTAAAACGTAAACACATGGTTGCGTCCTACTGCAACGCCGGACGCGCTAAGGGTCCCTTTCATTCTTTTATTTATCAACAAACCAGCGAACATACAGTCCACCCTTTAAACACTCTTCTTTGTAATGTAGGATGTTAGCAATCACGACATACATTTAATTCCGCACGGACGCAGTCGCGGGCAAAAGTTAGTATTATATTCGCATAACCATCATAATGGAGGAGATCTTAATTACGAATTAAGTAACAGGAATTAATCGTTTTTATGACAAAGTGAAAGAGTAAAAGATAATTTGCAATGTGGCGCTGCAAATCAATACTAGCTAGCATTATCTCGACAACCACGTCATATCCTTGATAAATAAATTGTTTGGTAACATCGAGAGACAAAAAGTTGTTATTTATACACCACCCTGGTAGACGTAGTTATAAAATGTACCTAAGATTGGCTTTTAGTGGCTAGAAAGCAAACGTCACTATGTTCAATATCTACCGCTACTGAAACGACAATTAAATATGGAACTGCGTCTTCAATTAAAATACCACGTTTTAACTGCATTAACATTTTGACGCCTACTAGATTGTAAATGGCATTACGTACCGAAACTTTTAAGATGCGTTTCAGTGTTCTGCCCTACGTTCTTTTTTAAAGTATAAAAAGTAATTGTCAAGTTATATGTAATAAAAAATACTAACCATGTTTATAACAAAAGTATGATTCATCGTTGTATACTCAACAGTTCGATTTGGTAAAACGCGCCGTCCTTCTATTGTTGGGAGTTGAAGAGAAACAAAGATAACGCTTCAGTCTTTAATAAATAAAGTAAACAATCAGAAGTAAATACAATCAATTGAGCATCTCTAATAATTCTGATGGTGATATATCTTTTAGATATTCGTCTACTAAAGGTACGATGTGATTCCTAAGAGCTTCAACTATCGTTGTTTTATATCCCGCGAGGATTTCAACGCCTTCGTTGTTCAAAATAACGTTGATCGGCCAAGAACTATTCTCCAAATTAGCCTGAAATAAACACCAAATTATGATGGAAATATATTAAAGCAACATTTATGTACAGTCAGGAAATTTGGCGGTATACCAAATTAAAGGCTATAAGGTTTGGACTTTGGGACGACAATGTGGTACAATAACCATTAGAACGCATCTTTTTAATATGGCTGTATCTAAAAATTTTAATCAGTGGTTATTTGATATTTAGTAACATCCCGTCGTTTCTTGCAACTCACTACTACCTAATTATTTTTTAATAAGGGGCAAAGTTTATGTTAATGCAACAGGGCATTTTTAATCGTACCTCTCACGTCGTATTTCCGCGACTGTACATGTAAATACTCTCACTAAATTTATAAATGTAACCTATGTTTTTCAAAATTGTACCTTAGTCTATTGCTTTAAGTGTTACTATTACTTACATGAATTTTCTGGACACTATAATTTAGTAAAAAGTTCTGTATTTTTGTACCATTTTTATTATTTGTACCAAACTTAACGCTAGCCGCTATAACTGTTTCACAGAATATTAATCTGAAAATTAAAACATAAAACAATCAACGTATATTTATACAAGTAACTTATTTTATTGCTGTTATTTAACTTACTTCATTTTACCCGACCCTTTGAGAGGATATATGTAATACGCTCTGCCTTCAAGTTTATATTTATCTGTAAAAAAATTCGTACACTTTTAATAAGGCTGTTTTAATCTAAAATCTATTGTAAAAGTGATAAACGACATACCAGATAAAAGTGTTAACATTGGAAATCGTAACGATAAAGATACTTCTAAAGATCTTTCTACAGTAAAATGTTTAGATATAAATATATCCGCTATAGCGGATATATTTTCAACCGTAAAATGATCGAGGCCCTTGAGAATCATTTCGCTGATAGTATAATCCAATCTGTAAATGAATACACACATTCAATGAATTTATAAAATAACTACTAGCCGTTCCCGTGCGGCATGAAATTGTAAAAACTTTATTTTGTTATTTACATTTGTGAAATTTTCAATTGCAAATATCAAAAATCAAATGCACAAATGACAACATGGCAATCTTGCTTCCTTGATGTTAGCAGCTTGTAGTTTATGGTTTCTTTTTCCAAAGTGTTTACCCCTTAAGTTTAACAACGTGAAAATATGTAGCCTTAAGCGTATCGTATACGCAGTGTTACATAGAATGTTCTTTGATAATAAGCTTTTTAATTTATGACAGATTTTATGATTTTTGATACTCTTTGATTGTTATACAGAATAGGTTACTATGGTTATATTATGGTTATTGTGAAGTCAGAACTTGAATTAATATACGAGTATATAGTTATGAAGTTATCAAATCGTTTCAATTCGCAACAATGCTTAGGCCTTTTTATTTAAGAAAGAGTTATTCAAAAATATGCTGTGATTGCTGACATACTACTTTATGAAGTAGTGTTTGGTTACGCTTTATTATATTCGTATAGATAGTATAGACTATATTTACTACGAATACTGAAACGCTAATTAAGTATGTGACAGCGTCTTAAATGATAAGACCACGTTTAAACTTTGAGTTCCATTATTTATTACATTTGTCAGTTTGTTAACTGCAATGAATCAAAAGTATAGATGGATGCATGGATGTATGTTAGAGTTTGTAGCATAAACGGCTGAACAGATCTATAAAATTTGGTAAAGATGTAGATGATAGTCTGGAAGTGTTCTTCCACTACATAGGCTACTTACTTTTGTTTTTTTTATACCACACGGACGGAGTCGCGAGCGAAAAATAGTATTTTATATTTTAAATTGTATAAAAATAAGATTTACCGTATTCCTTTGCCTTTGTAGTAGTATTCCACGGGCGGGATTGTGACAGTTGACAAGGATTGATTAGGCAACGAATCATGCTGCTGGCTTGAAGATTGCCATAGTAACAAGATATTTAATATGTTCTCTTCCATCGCATTCTTAGCTGGAATCAGAAAATGTACAAATGACATCATAAAGTCATTACGTTTTAATTATTTTAATATAGAAATAAAACATCAGTACTCAATCAAAACCTTAATTAAGAGTCTTCTAAAAGTAAAAAATCTCTTAAAAGAATCTATTTTTATATTTGTCTAACTGCACATAGACATTTCCTTGCTTTTTTAAATCATGGTCTATTTGATCGTCCACCTATTTATACTTATGTATTAGTACTGCGAGATATACGTAACTACAATTTTTAAATGTAATTTTATTAGCATTCTTACAAGAAATGAAGCATGATATTTATTTTTCGAGAAAAACATTTTCAAAATTCGAACAATAGTTTTTTTTTATTTAAAATGGTTATAACATTTCTGCTACCTTCGTTCTAAAAGATAACGTATTTAATTAGACAATACTATAACATACATTGACACTAATCTCAACAGCAATTACCATTACCTTGACTTGATTCTTGTTTCTATTTAAAAAACAATATGGCGTGCGATACGAAATGCTATTTGAATTTAGAGTTATACATTTCGATAATTCTAATCTTGTATTACCTTTGATTGAAGAAAACAAAAGAATGGGTAATTAAAACTTACTATTACGAGTAGCATTTTTTATTACAGTTAAATTAAACTAAATTAAATTTTCTCTTTATCTATCCCCGTCAGCTATAAATAAACGGTTATTTGCTTTCAACAAACATTACGTTATTTTATTACATTGAATACTGTTATCTAATAAGTATGTATCCGCAAATATTTTTGCCACCACACGTAACCTTATCATGTATTTACATTTACTCGGTATTAACAAAACCTATTTGGGTTACAAAGGATCTGGAAATACCAAGACAACGTATATTCACACAATATGATTGTTCCAATTTAAAACAACGAACGAATAACACCAATTACATGAATAAGCAGGATTCTGAGAAAATATTACGTGTAGAAAATCGTAATGGAAGTAATTTAATATTATTAAATGTCCTTCCTTTTCCCTCTATAAAATTAATATACAAGATGCATTTAATACAAGAATAAAGTGGTCGAAAAATGAATACTAAGAAAGCCTTAGCCTAGTTAGGATCGAAAGATAAATAGAAACTTTGAATTAAGGATTTTTTTCCGTAAATTTTGCTCCAAACTAACTAATAGTAGAATAAAAAAATAAATTTAGTCATATTTTCTAACAATTAAATGAAGCAAAACAAATAATTAGACACAATAATTAAAATATTAAATCATAAAATTCAAGTTTCGTTTATAATTTTTTTAATAATTAGGTTAAGTTACACTTTATCTAAAATTAATTACATAGCGTTGAATTTATGAAATATATGTACTTACGCACTACTTGTCCATTTGTGACGAAAACAAACAAAAATATAAAAAAAGGTAGTCGACACATATTGAATGAGAGAAGACAACGAACTGCCGCAGACTGAATCTTATCATTGGCCCTGCACCACATTTATATACCGCAATTGTTTGCTTAAATATTAAACCCTACCATCCAACGGAATCCTTCCACAATTTTCCTTTAAAAATCATAATCTCGTTTCAATTACTACTTTTAAATTATACTTCATCTATACTATACTTACTAATATAATAAAGAGTAAACACACTATTTCGTGCCTTAGGATGTCTGCAATCACAGCATATCTTTGATTAATTCTTTTTTTAATAAAAAGCCCTACACTTAGGATACGCTTTAGGATATATATTTTCACGCTATTAAACTAAGGGGTAAATAAATTGGAAAAAAAACGTCACGTGGGAAAGCCAACATTAAGGAAGCATGGTTATTATAGTAACGGTGAATTTGACAAATGTAAATCTTATCTTCTATATATGTGTATAGTAAAATTTGAGTGTCTTTTCGTAATATTAAAACAAAAATTCTTGATTTCGGGAAGATGATGTTTTTGTGTTGCTGATAACGAATATCGCCTCTAAAAATGTTTGTCTTTCTATCTGTTCGCAAGCCGCGTTTGTTCCGAGTAATCTCCGAAACGACTAGGCCGATTTCAAACGGACTTTCACTGAAGGGTAGCTGACATAAACGGGCATATTATAGGCTACATTTTTATTTCAGTATTGCGAAGTTGCGAGCATCAGAAGGTAATAAAGTGAAGTTTTAATAAGAAGCTCTACAGACCTCGATGAAATTCACTTTGAATTATATTATTTACTAGCTTTCGCTGCGACTTCGTCTGCGTGAATTTTAAAAAACCAAAGTAATAAAATAAATAAAGCTTATGTGTTCTTCAGGACTATCCTCTACATCTATTCCAAATTTCATCGAAATCCGTTCAGCCGTTTAGGCTACAAACTCTAACAAACATTTTCATCCACCGATCCATCTAGATTTTCGCATTTATATTAGTATGATTAGGATGATGTTGTTACTATTAAGTTGTAAATATTGTGATATGTCAGCGAATTTGGCTTTATCTATATATCTATCTATCTAGTTTTGTCTAATAATGACATAAAAACAATTACTTATGTTATAACTTCTAATATTGGTCAAGGTTACTGCTTCGTATAGGTTACAGGTGATAAGATAAATTACATAGACCATTAACAGAATTTGTTAATGTACAAAATCATTTAAACTAAGGCTTGTAAATGACAGCTTATAGCAAATTTCTATAGACAGTAATCTCTGAAATCGATATATTTTGCTATATATCAAATTAATTTTATTTCCAGACAACTTTAGAATATATAAAAATGTATGGAATTTGTCGATTACAAGACATATCTGTGACAGTTTTTAACTCGTTTTGTGGGAAAAGTTGCCGGCAATAGCAATATGGGTTGTAGCACCGCCTACTACTTTACAAGGCGCAAGTTCGGCCCCACATGGAGTACTGCTCGCACCTCTGGGCGGGAGCACCCCAATACCAGCTTCTTCCATTTGACCGCATACAACGGAGAGCGACTCGAATCGTCAACGACCGAGCTCTTACCGATCGGCTAGATCCTCTGGCCTTGCGAAGGGACGTCAGTTCCCTCTGCATCTTTTACCGCATTTACCACGGGGAGTGTTCCGATGAGTTGTTTGGAACGATTCCTGCCGCCGAGTTTCGTCATCGGACGACGCGACAGACCGCCAGGTACCATCCTCACCATCTCGATGGCTGGCATTCCACAACCGTGCGGTTTTCGCGGAACTTTCTGCCCCGCACAGCCGCGTTGTGGAACGGTCTGTCCTCGGCGGTATTTCCAAACCAATACGACTTAGGATCCTTCAAGAAGCGAGCTTATCATTTCCTCAAAGGCCGGTAACGCATCTGTAGTTCCTCTGGTGTTGCGGTTGTCCATGGGCGTCGTTGACCACCTTGGTGTACACGCTGCTCGTTTGCCCCCTTTTAATATAAAAAAAAAAGCACAGATAATCTTCTCCCTTACTTCACCCCCAAAGTGCGCCATCTACCGTTAAAAAGTGAAAACACATCATTGAAGACATTAATGAATGTTCTGATATCTCGGTCGCAATCTTTATTGAATTACTCACGAATTCAATTTAATTCACTTACACGCAATCAAGTCGACCGTGACACGAGACAAAGGCGTTTTAACGTTCATTCTTGTAATCTATACATAGTGATAAATAAGATCTAAAACACACGAAAGTGATATTTTAAAATCCTTGATACAAATACATACATTGTACATAATGTTTATTGTGTAATGTTTACATGCAGACACATAAAAGTAGGAGTCGAGGTCATAGAGAACACACACGATTAATCTTACTAATATTATAAATGCGAATGTTTAGATGGATGGAAGTTTGTTAGTGTTTGTACTAAATCTAAAATCTAAATCTATATGAAAATACTATAAATCTATATAAAATACTTGCTTTTGTTTTCGAATTCTCGAGCAAAATCTTTAATTCCAAAGTTTTGCTATAGAAAAAGGCAAATAAAAGTAACTATCGTTTCTCTCTATATTAAAGTTATTTTATAAAAAATCTTACATGGATTTTAGAATAATAAATCGGGTATTAAAAGAGTCAAACTCTATGATGGCTTAGCTGTATATGAAAGTCGTCGAATACGTAGGGGAGTGTATCCACGTTTTCGTGCTGCCGACACCTAAATTGCTGTTGTAGCAAATTGCGAACCGCCATCAAGTACTGATAGCACTGTACTGGCTCCACTCACCACTGTCACGTTCAATACAAACGAAATAAACAACCGTACTCAACATCTTTACTTCGCTGTTTTAACTATTTCATTAAAGAAAGTGGAACGACCCAACGCCCTACGTATACTAAACTTAACAATTTGTACTAGACTTTTAAGATATATTTAATCTAAGTTACACAACAACACTACTTGTTACCCGACTCATCTCTAACTTGATATTGAAAATAGTTTTAGTTGAATTGTATTTAATATGGGTACATTATCAATTCCGCAAATTTGTAATGTCACTAAGTAAGTTTCAAATTAACTGGAAGTGAAGATCTCTTCTGTAATCTCTTCTGTAAACTGAACGTATGTAGCTTTAAGTTTTTTTAATCATTGTTTCGGAAAAACCCAAAAAAAAAATATTTTTCGTTTACAGTGTAAACCCACCTATATGCTGTATGACTGATTTTGTATATTTTATAATTCTTATTACTAATAAGTTGTTATTCCATAAAAATCCAACTGGTAATTAAGGTAATTAGGGTTTTTGTAACAGGAATAAGTAAAAAAACAAGCTTCTTAGAAGAATTACAGGAATTGTAAAAGTTTACTTGTTTAAAACAAACCGATAAGCGAATTATAAATGCTGGTTGAGAACAAATGGCGCTACTTCTTATACAAGTTTAACCTTACCAGTGTTCAAGATACCTTACATTAAATATTTTAAATCACAAACAAAGATAATGTTAGTAAAAATATTATTAGTGAGGCTCGTACACCGGTAGAGGTAGGTTTAAAAAAAATAGAATAGAATAGTTGGATATTTATGATGTCAACATCATGAGTATGTAAGTTGCGATAATGGATGGATGTTTCTTTAAAGATATCATCGAAACTGATTATTCCCAACCGTCACCCCGCTCTGTCCCCACGTGGAAATAGTAGGGTATAAAAAGGTTCAACCATTCAGCCTTTAGCGACGAGGGGAAGGTTGGAACTTATTTTATTTTATACCGGTTCCATCTGTCACCTTATTGGTGATAATGGGACTAAAAGGTGGGACGGATATATACATAGTGATAAAAATAATACATACTAAGAATTGGATTGACACTACAATGTATATAAACGCAATGTATGTATAAACGCTGAACTACATATCCCTTGTAAGAATTTTCTCTGACTTAGCAAATAGCTGTGAACCATTTGGAAAGGGGACAATGAAGTCCTGTAATTTAAATCTAAAAGGCGACAGTGGTCTTGCTAAGCTGCGGTTGATTTAAAACGATTTGCACTTTGAGTTCAAATTGATTTCTCTTTTGGCGTTGCGCTGGACGTGAACGTAAAAAATGTAGAATTGTAATTGGTAGTGCTAATGTTAGAGTAGGGCGTGGTTAAGCGATCGCCCAGGGCGCTGGTGAACAGAGATGCAGTACAGATAACGCCCAGGGCTAGTAGCTAAACCAAATACTATTAATTTATTCTACAACAAGCTACTAAATATTTGCAACTTTATTTTCATATCAACATGCATATCTAGGAGCACCTTTTGATTGTTGTTTTTTTTTTCATTTTTCGATCCCGAAGGATTTTATAGGATCTTAAAAGAATTTATCACATAGGTATGATGACTTCTTTTGCGTTTAAATTGGGTGTTTGGTAGTTTTTAAAAACCATTAAACCAAGCAAGGTAAAAGGTATTTGGTAATGCTTAAAAGTGAAAATGACGATTTTCTTTCCTCTCACAAACATTTTCCGATGCACAAGTGATAGCAGAAAAAAAAAACACTTTTCACTATCTTTCTTATAAGAAACGAACACATTCGACCTTTACCCGAAAACTACTTACTTAGATATTTCGATTAGACCCTTTTTCGAATGGCTCTATTTTAGCAATACTATATCACAGATCTTAAAATTAAATAACCTAAAACCTATGATGTCTTTGTTTAGGTTAGGTATCTAATGAATGCGACACTTAAAAAGAACAGAGTGTTAAGTTTCAAATATGATAGTCTAAGAAACAAAACTATAATGAAAGAAGAAATTCAAATATATGTGTGAAGTCGACCAACCCGCAGTGGGCCGGCGCGGTTGACTATGGCCTAGTCACCCTAACTTAGGGTAGGCTCCGAGCCCCTCGGTGGGGACGTATAGTGAGCTGGTGATGATGATGTACTTTCAACTGATTGTATTAAAACCAATCTTACTTTGAAACATTGTTATAGATTTTTAATATGTTTATAATGTATAAAACATAGCTTTGTTTCAATTGTAACT